CATTTTGATGATTCGGAAAAGGGGTAGGATGAAAAATTAAAAACAAAGAAATCATCAAAACTAAAACAACAAACAAAAACAACACGTATCAATCATTTTTCAAGTACTCTTTTCTCTTGGAACAAACATCAACATACAAATCCAAAAACTAGACAAAATTATAATACAAGAAAAATCACTTGATCAAACACAACAGGTCAAAACTCTATGATCCATTTTATAACAACCAATAGGAAAATACACTCAAATATGATACATCCACACCGTTTCATCGTAAGAACATAGGTTCTGCCTACAGGGTAGTGTTAGGAAAATTAAACAACAGAAAAGTTTAATATAGAAAGAAATAAAGACCTAAGTACAAATCAACTCTACCAAAACAGGTTAGTAGACAAATTACGAAGTCAAAATATGAGTGAAAGGAATGAAATAGAAAATATTTGAAATGATACCAAGTAATGCATTTCATTAGCAGGTCAAGAACAACAACTCTTGGAAGCAAAGTTTTCACAACTCCATGATGCCGAAGAAAGTGAAAAAGATTTTTCGCATGTAAAGGAAACAAATTCCGCACCGACAAAAGTATGTACAATTTTGAAACAGATTCAATCAGGAAAATAAGAAAATCAATGAAAAATAGTGGAGGAAATTTACAAAGAAAAACCAAAGGAAGAAACGACAAAATATACTGGAATAAAAACCATTGACAGACACAAATTGGAAGGTTACTTCACTTAATTATACAGATATCTATAGAGGAATTAAGCTAAACACTTCAACTATTTACATATAAAAGAACAACAAGGATTCGGGAAGAATAGAGAAATAACGGATGCTATCTTTAGACTTCGACCAATAATAGAAAAGTCAATAGACCACAATGTGCCCGGATATCTATGCTTTATCGATCTTTGAAAAGTTTTCGATAAAGCACGAAAAAATTGCATACTAAATCTTACTGAAAGAAGAATAAACGTTGATACTATTCATATATTTATTACCTAATAGGCGACCTAAAAAGTAATAATAAAATCAATATAGTAACATTGACAGTAATACCATTCCCAAAATTATATATCAATTCTGGAATTGGACAATAAGTTTAGTAAAGCCCATTTCTATTTAATCTACAGATGTGTCAGATAATAGCCGATTTTGAAAACAACCTCTAAACACTGTTAAATCACTAAGTGTCACCTCAAAATGGAACGACATAGTAACAGTAACTGAAAAAACAAAATTTATGGTACGTCTAAATATCAGACAAGATGTAAACTGGCAGTTAACGGCCATATCAATGTACAAAGTATGCAACAGAGCTACGTAGGACGCAAAATAATAGGTAGTAAAGAACTTAAAACCGAGGTAAAAGAACAAACAAATAAAACACCTAGCAATTATGATGTACCGTGGGGAAACACGAGCACACACAAAGAACAATACGAAACACTGGAAATGAACATATTAAGAACGGTGATGGCAGACAAACCAACAAAAATGATGTTCTGAAGGTGATAAAGAAGAAAGAAAAATGGAACGAACATATAGGAAAAAATGGTGATGAATGATAAACTTGCAAATATATTATAGGAATGATCATTAGATCACAATTGCAAGCAAATTAAAGTTATAGCTTTTGAGAATTTTTAAAACATAAAAAATGTTGCAATACTTCGTAGTAGAAAATTATTTCGTCAATATTGCATTTGCAATTATGTGTTTTGCAACTTATTAATCGTTTTTGAATAAGTATGGAAGTATAAATAAAATATATGACTAGCGAAAATATTACATACACGAAAACACAACAAACCAGCTTGTCCAATAAAATATCACTTTTCGAACTAGCAATGTAATTAACTATTGTCTGTGACTCATTCGTTACATAACTTCCAAATTTACGTTGAAATTACAAAACAAAGAAATGTTTGTTAAAAATGCAACAAAAATTTTATCAACATAAAAAAATAGCAGCTCAAAAATTCTGTATGTTTCTGGCGCCACATCTTTTCAGTGACAAATGAGTTTATCGGTGGTTATTACAAAAATAAGGAATCCGAAGCATGTATTCAAGGAACAATCAGAAGTGGAGCTTACAATCGCAATGAACCACTTTTGATCATCCTAGACTTGCTACTATTCTTCAGACACTAGAAAGGCCCACATGTATTCCATTTAAACCCATTTAAATATGTGACAAGACTGTAAGTAAATGGAACATCTACCAGAACAATGGGTCTTGGAATGTTAGAAATAGTGTCAATAAAGGCAAAGTCGTTCTCTATTACCGACGTTATTCTTTGAACTTTGGACAAAAATAGATGCTCTAGAATTTACAAAAAAAGTAACCGTTTCAGCTTACCGCGCGAACCTAATAATTAATCCAAAGCAAATGAAATTTTGTGGTAGCCGTGTCAGTTTCAGCCTTTCCTGAAGACCTACCTACATGCATGCACGGCATAAACAGAAACTTTCGAGATCATAAAAAACCGTTGTCTTGTATCACGCAAAATAAGGCAACCGTCTTATTATCAAGACAAATACAAGCTGTTTAATAATATACAATTACGCTTTGAAATTATATTTCACTTGGTTTAATTGAAGTGGCACTGCTGCAGCAGCGCACAGTCATTTCGCAAACAATAAATAATTGAGTTAGCATTTAAATTACACTATGCTACCCAGATATAGTGGAGAGAGCACCCACATGTGCAACCGACATTTACACCAATTAAAGATGTAAATTATCGACCCCTTTACACATTTTTTCAGTGTAAAAGCCTAAGCACACAATGATTGCATACTGTGGATCGCAGCACTAATAAATTCATTTTCAGATAAGGTCTCGATTATTATATCTGTCATTTCGATTGAAGAAATTTCTAACTGCAAAAGATGAAGTTATTTCATGCATATTAATAATAGTGTCTCTGGTGTTAACATCTCGGTAATTATGAATGTGACATGCACAAATGAACGGATCAATGAATTATTAAAAATTATTTCGCCTGTAGCCTCCTAGATCTTAAACTAGAGATATGCAAAACGACGATGTAGTACAAAAATATTAACTCGATAACAAGTTTATTACTCGAAAAATTTTACATTTTTTGCTACGGTCACATGCACAAGATACTAATCTTGAATTTGCCGGTGGATTAATTAAAACGTTACGATAATTTAATAAAACTATCAATATCTATGAAAGTGATACTGTAAAATAGAGAGAATAAAAAAACATGTAGGTATCAACTAAAGATTGCCTGATGGAAACTGCGTTCGACAATATGTTTTGTATTTGTGACAGTTGACAGTAAAACATGTACACGCATACTTACTCGAAGTTGAGTTATTTAGAATTAGATTCAAAAAATTAGTCTAATGTTATTTAGACAGAACTTCCGTCACTCCTCGCGCGCTCTTAGCGCAATGCTTGATCAACTGAGTTAATGGCCCACTGAGCTGCTGTTATAAAATACTGTTATACAAACTGGATTTTCGCGATTGTCTAGGGTGAACAATGAAGACGGATTCATAAACCACAAGTATAGGAGAATATTATTTTATAAAATTTAAATAATATCTATCATGCAAAATTTTGAAGTAACGTCATCAAATTGTTGGTAGTGAATTTACAAGGGTCAAACAATTGAGAACACTATTGAAACAAAAATAAAAATTGTTATTGTACAAGCAGTACATTTCAAGTTAATTTTAATCATTTAGCTGAGATAGAACAGTATACACATACACATAAACATACCTTAACATGCATGAGCAGAAAACAAAACAACTTGAATTTGAAGGTAAGAGTAGTTAAGATACAATAAAATGAAAAATTCTAGAGATAATCATCCTAGCAAGCAGAACGTGTACGTGATCTTACAGTCTGATTGTGATAACCCCAGTTTCGAAAAAAATTCTCAAAAAATGATATCGCCTCAAAAAGAAAGCACAAGGTGCATATAGAAGTTGACCAAAATATATAAATAGTTAATTAGAAGAAATTAACTACATCCTAAGACTACCCATTATTAGTTATCACTTAATTATCTACTTAGGCGACTATTGTTTCCTATTACTCCTATTTTTGAAAAAAAAAAAAACTCTTGATCCAGTTAAATAAGAAATGACAATTTAATTTTTAAACAATTACTAGCCACAAGAAATCAGTTTCTTGGAATTAAACTGACTAAATGTGACGTTACGTAAAGTTATGAATAAATTATGCAATAAGAAAAAGTACATGCCGACGACGATCTTCATATCTGATTGCTATACCGGGGAGTAAATAATACGACGATGCCATAATTTAGACACTAAGTGCTCTCATGCGTTATCTTGTTGAGCAGCCTTTTCCATTGATGGCTGATGGCTTATTACACATAACCATTATAGCTTGTTAATTATAATAAAACAAATAACAACCAGTTGCGGTAATTATCTATTAGAGCGCTTATCAAACCGTATGACAAGTTTTCCCGTAATTAATCTGCGAGCGCTAATGACTAGTTCGGTATATCCGAGTGAAAAGAATTATCGCGATAAAAACCGCTTATTTAAATGTTAATGTACTCAACTCACCTGTCAAAAGGATTCGAGAAGTTGTTCCTTAGCATCAGACAAAGTTTAACTGTTCACAGTTACTCACTGCTAATATGAATCATGCCCGTAAAAGCCCAACAAATTATCAACATGTTACACACAAATTACATTCAAATTGTTTATTTTTAAGTTCCACCCACCCTTGAAGCTAGCGCCCTTCACCACTGAACGAATTTAAATGGACGCATTTCCGGCAATTAGAATCGAAAAATGGCAAATTACGTATTTAATTCCTGTAACGACCACAAACAAGGTTCAAAAATCGTTTTATTACGGGCTTCCCGCGCGGTGATGTACTCGCACTTTACCAGAACAAAGATTCAATGTCACCTAAGTGGCTCCATTTGGTGGGAAATTCACATTTGTATCTATAAAATCTGGATGGTGTTAGAATACACACCATACGTACCATTGCACTGTGAAAGAATGTTTCACTTTTATCACATCTTGGCCGTATTGGTCTTTACCATCGGTTAGTATTTTTCCAGTGTTTGAATTTTAAAATCGGCGCTTTTTTGGCAGGTGGTACAAAGGCCCAAGGAGGAGGAACTACTGCCGCTGGAGATTCGTACGTATGCGTCCCGGCAGGTTATTGTGCCAATGGTGGTACTCCGACTTCTCCGGGAATTGATCCTCGGATAGTTACTCCCGTAAGTTTTCCGGGATTGTTAAGGCATTATAGATCTATTTTCTTTCGACAGGGAAACGAACCCTGTCCCGCCGGGCAGATACCTTGTTATACGCAAGGACCATCGAGTAGGTGTGGCGAACGGCTTGTTAGCCCAGTATCAACGGCCGATGGTCAAGCAACAGATGGTGCTCACCCTTGGCAAGCTTACATTCGAAATTCAACCAATCCTGTATATGCTGGTAGCGGCGTACTTATCGACAATTACCACATCCTCACAGCAGCTCACAAAGTATATGGCGACAGGTAAGATACATATTTCCACATCCGTAGCACTTTAGCACAACGTAAATTGTACAACTAGATAATGATAACAAATGACTGCTTCGGGTGGGGTAAAACTGACAAGTAGTTAATTTCATAATTTAATGATCACAAGAGGTTGATAAAACGGAAGATTAAAAAAACACATAAAAAAATTCAAGAATGTGAACAGCTGAAATAGAAAGTGATATGGTGTCAAAATCTGACATCCAAAATTAATCCAATACTAGATTGCAGGTAAAACACGTACCAAAATCTAGCTAACAGTGAAACGGAAAAATTGAAGGGTGACATATATTACCACTCAATATGTTGGGCAACAGGAATAACCGAATTATAGACCAACAAAAAGAATGCTTAATATAAAGGAAAAAAAAAAGATGTAAAACCGTGAACAGAAAATGCAATCAGAAATTGGAAGAGTCCTTCATTTCCACATATTGCGGAAATATTGACTGCATCATCTACAGCTCAATGATAATAATTGGTGATCATTCGATACAATTGAGAGATCTGAAGGATATTAGTTTTTACAAATATTTTTAGTTAAATGTTGCAACTTGAAAATATAACCTTGGTAACAAATAAGGGCTATCAATTTCATTTTTGGTAAGCTGAGACAGGTATTTAACACAGACGTATTTCCTATGATAACATTGGAAGTTGAAGTTGATATAACAGCAAATGATGTGGATAACCTCTGTGAGTATATCCAACATTATAAAAAAAAAAAAATATTTAGCAAAACGTCTTTGAATTTTTTCAACAGTGGACGTCCAGGGTAAGTCTTCGATGTTTCGTTAGTTATTAAATTTGTACGGTTTTTTAGATACATAGCAGATATATTAAAATTATCTTCGACTATACAGTGTGATCTGTTTTTGAGGTATAGCACATAATTTAGTTTCAAGAACGTAAATAAACTAAGGAAGTAGGTTTAGTAATCGAGTCCATCAGACGATTTGCCACTTTCATGTTTTCTCGACGTTTCATGACCCCTAGAGTACGAAAAAAGTTGTCTCCCGTTTTCTCCTACACGTGTAATTTATAAATTCGTGTTGAATTTTTACCCGGGAGATTCAGATTTTTGGAAAAAAAATCAAAATTGTAAAACATTTTGCAATTTAATTTTGAATGTGCAAAACCGAATGCTTTGAATCTTGTAGGCGTTTTAAAGTTATCGTAAGCATGCTAAATTTTTAATTAATTTGATTTATTAATATAATAATAACCTTATCTAAAATGTACAAAATATGATGAGTCTATACTTGTGATTTATAACTGCATTTATATTTTTTTAGATTTTCATATATAGGGTGACTCAAAAAAATTAATTTATTTTATTGATTAATTTTTAAACTAGACATCCAGATTTTTGGAACAAAAATATATAACATTTTGCAATTTTAATTTGAGTAATTTAATCAAAAATTGCCGGTTTATCTCCTCCAAAAAAATTTAAAATATGTAAAATATAATAATTTATATGCTTGTGGTTTATCAGAGTGACTCAAAAGAACTAATGAATGCGACAAAATATTTTACTGATCAAATCAAGAGATCATCTTATTTTCCAAAAAAATTGATCTTACAATACAGTTATTATATTAGTATTATACTTTACCTATTCAAATTGATATGCGTTCTTACTAAAATGGTGATGACGTGATCACAAAATTTTGTTATGATAAAACTCACTTGAAACATACGTATAACTTGCTTGTTTACATGTACTTTAATAGTCAGTACATTTCTTTAGTTTAAATTCTATGGATTATCAAAACAAAGCGCAAAATGTATTTTTTTCATTTTTAAAAGAAGCTGTTTTTGTTCGCCTGTACTTCAGAAGCGAAGAAAGTTCTACCTAAAAAAACTTTGGACCATTTTTTTTTTTTAATAGAACAACCAATATATTTTTATATATTTTCATTGGCCTCTCCCTTGGTTTTACAGCCATGGTTTATTTTTGAAATTCCGATGCGGTGTTGCCACGTGACTCCGATTTTCTTGAATTTTTTTAGTAATGCAAGGGTTCACAGAAAAAATCGCAATAATGTTGTTTTTAAAAAATCTGTTGAAATATTTTATGAGGAGATAAACAAAGATACGGGTTTATTGTCAATTCGATTAAATAAAATTTTAATATACAGGGTGTTTATTAAAAGAATCTAAAACGTTACAGTTTTCAAATATTAATATTTCATGTCAAAAAGAACACCCTGTATTTTATTACTGTATCTATTTTTTTTCACTTTCTTTCGATATCAGTTTGTCTCTTAAAAAAGCAAAAAAATCGCAATAATTAAAAATTTTAAGTATAGAAAATATGTACTTACCTTTAAAAAAGAAAGGGAACAAAAAACAAAATAAGATGCATTAACAAAATACTGGACGTTTCATTAAAAAAAACTGACATATTTTTTTATATTTCAAAATAGTCACTCTGCAAAATAAGACTCAATTTTTCTTAAGATCACGACAAAGCGCGTACCTTTACTTTTCTCTCTACAAAATATTGAGTGATATGCATAAAGTTTAGTAAATACTAAATACTGAAATTTACAAGTAAATACTGACTTTCGTATGAATAATAATAAGTGTAAGCTTATAAGTATTTACTTATTACTTGGTCTTGAAAAATTTTCTAGGTTTTACTTAATTTTCCAGTAAATACTTCAAGTTGCATGCATAATAACAAGTACTTACTTGTACTTGCAAGTAAGTACTTAAAATTTTTCAAGCTACTTTTTAGTAGACTAGTGATTATACTTAAATTGAATTCAGTCAACGTGCAGTGTGTCTTAAGAAGGTGATTGACATTTAAAGTTTAGAACAGTTTAGAATGGCGCTATTTGTTCTTCCTTTTCGTCAACAGAAATTATATAAACCCCGGAGACAAGCCTATCCGAATACGTACAAGGCAATGTACAGATTCGAGGAAGAAAACGTGCAGTATTTAGCGGATGTATTTTTGCGTGATCAAGCTGAAACTCGTGGGGGTGCTTTATCGGCAAAACTGAAAATGGAAATATTTTTAAGATACATGGGCGATCCGGGATTTCAAGTGGGTGTTGGGGAAGATAGTGGTACCCATCAAAGTACCGTCTCAGGGACAGTTCACGAAATCAGTAATAAAATTTACGACAGCGCCCATCAATGGATAAAATTTCCGGCAGAACAGAGAGAAGTTGATGCAGAAAAACAGGAGTGGTTGGAAAAATATAACTTTCCTGGTACATGGTGGATAATGGGATTGCGGTCACCACTATCCAATAATTTTATGAAATCTTCCTCCCATCGTTTGAATTTAATTTGTTTATTTCCTGTTTTTTTCAGTCGGTCTTTTTTTTTAATTTCTGTTTTCATGTTGTTGATCTTTTTTAATATTTTTGGTTCCGTCATAGATTCTCCATAATCTATGGCGTATTGGCTTGCGAACTTACTTAGAGCAGCCTTTTTTTTTCTCTCGGCTGTTTGGTGTTTGCGATTTGGTTCATAAGAATATCGGCTATTTCTTTAAAATCTAAATAAATCTTTCCTTCTTGTTGTTTATTTCAGTAGTTTCAACACTTTCTTCACCGGTTTCGGAGTCTGAGGAACTCATGTTGCAACCAAATTCGTACGTATGACACAAATCACAAAATTATTTTTATGACAGTTACGTTAATCAGTTTTTAAGTATTTACTGGAAAATTGCAAGTATTTACTTATAAGTATAAGTAAAAGGTTATGCATATGAATTTCAGTAAATACTTCTACTTGTAGTAACTACTAATAAGTAGATGCTTTTACTAAAAGTTTTTACTTTTAGTAAATACTTATTTTTATGCATATCAGCCAATGTGTTATAGATATTTTTGTGAACCCTTCCACTGCTAAAAATTTTCAAGAAAATTTGAAAAACATGGTAACGTCGCAAGGGAATTTCAAAAATCAATTTTAGGCTAAAAAGAAGAGTAAGGTGGATGTTACGCCTTAAAAATAGAACACTCTGTATAGTTGAAAGCAAAATGACTGTATGACCTCAAAGAACCATACAACTTTAATCGGTAACTTTTTTTACTTTTTCGAATAATTAATGAGGTAACGAGGAGGGCAGGCTTAGTGATTCATCCTGTATATATTTGACTGACGCAAAATAACGACACAACATTTGCATATATATTATCTATGTGACTTCCAAATTTAACTTCACCGTCAAAGACAACACAAAGATCTTTAAATATATTTAAACGTTTTATTCTCATGTTATTCACTGTGTGTTTCCTAGAGAAACTAACGATCAAACAATATCTTTATTTAACTCAAGTTAAAGTCTGCACCATTTCGGAACTATGATGTTCCGTAGCTTAATGGTCAGACACTGTATTAATTTGGCAATAAACCGTCAAATCATCGACGTATAATAAATGAAAAACATTTAATTTAATACTCAGATCAGTAACACAAATTCCAAAAAGATCGGGAGACAAGGCAAACCCTTGATGAACCCCAGAATTCTGTTTACATAAACTAGAGTTCCTTGGATTATTTATACTTGTACACAAAGAAATCTATCACACAAATAAAATGAAAATAATGTGAAAATTCAAATCATATCAACTATCAAGATGTTTTCTTTAAATTCGACATAAAACTCAAAAAGATAATTCAAAATCCGAACCTATAGTCGGTACAGACTTATTAATGAAAATGAAAAATTAAATGAAACCATTATTTTTCCAAAGACTTTTCTTAAATTTTCGCTGAATCTATATAGGGTGAGCCACTAAGCCCACGTCATTCGACAACTTATTAATTATTCAAAATAAAAAAGACAGATACTAAAGTTGTACTGTTCTTTGAATACCACATTAAAATTATTTCCAAATTATACAGCGTGTTCTGTTTTTGGGGCATAACATACAACTTAATTTTTTTCAGTAGAAACACCCTATATATTTTTGCATATTTTCATTGGTACCTTCCTAGGTTTTAAAACCGTAGTTTATTTTTTAAATACCACTGTAACTTTGCCGAATGGTAAAGAAGTACAGAAACCCAAGAGATGATCTGATATTGAATATTATCTCATTATCACCAAGAGAACAGAAAAAGATATTTACAAGCAGTTCTTCAAATTTCCTTCTTTAGATCTATATAGAATATTTAGATCTAAAGAAGAATCTCTTTTATTTCTCACCGCAGGGAAACCAATACTGTACAAAGAAGTGGAGGGACCAAAAAATCTGTCACAAAGCTAACTAAAGATGGGGCAGTTTGATGAATTATCAAGAAATCAAATTATTGATTCTAGCAGCGAACTCAAAAACGAAACAACCACAAAAACCTGAAGGAGTGAAAATTTGAAGTTTCAAAAATAATAAATTTCCACGATATTACAGGAACCAACCATGAGAAAAGAAGGAAAGCAAAAAATAGTAGCTCACGACCTAGTTAAAAATTTACATTAGGAACAAATAAATGACAGATGAAACAAATTGATGTTACGAAATGAAGAAGAAAATTCAGAACGGAAGAATTTGTAATAGTGTAGTGCAGAAACAATGAACTGTATAACGGTGATGTCAAAACACATACCCCTTGCACTTTTACAGTATCTCGCTTAATTTGTAGAGATTTCAGGGAAAAAGACACAAATATCCTGTTTATATTTTAATATTTTCTTTCCTTTCATAGGGGCAATCCAGCAGCGGTGTCAGTTCTAATGGGTGTAACAAACCCAGCCAATTTAGCCACCGCTCAAGTCAGAACAGCAGCCCAAATCACCAAACACTCAAATTACGACCCTGCCACCCTCAAGAACGACATAGCAATTATCACAGTTAGTGATCCCTTCAACCTAAGTGGAAATATCAACTCGCTCTGTCTTCCAGCGGCCAACGGTGGAGCAGAAAGTGCCGGTGCCTACATCGGACAAACGTAAGAACTCTTTAACATCCAGGCTTTTTTTTAATTATTAAATTCTACTACAGATGTGTCGTGGCAGGATGGGGTGAAACAAGTTTTCAAATAGCGGATGAGCCTACCAATCCCATGAAACAAGTGAATATAAATCCCATTGGTATTGCTGCATGTAGAGCTGGATTACTACCAGTTCTGCCCACAGTTGATACATACTTAGATCAAAATGGCGGTGAAATTTGTGCCGGAGGTCAACAAGACAAAGATGCTTGCACGGTAAGTGATTACGTTGATATGAGCACAGTTCGTACAATTATTTCTTAATTGTAGTACGATGGAGGTGCACCGTTGACGTGCCCTAACACGGGAAAAGGTACCATGGTTGGATTGGTTATTTGGGGTAAAGGGTGCGGACAGGCTAATGTCTATGGTGTCTACGTGAGCGTGCCCTATTACCGAGGATGGATCGACACCGCAATAACACAACTTAACGGCTAGCCATTCAAAGTCCTCACGTTGATGTAAACTCTACTTAGGTACTGCAATTGCCATTAAATGTTGTGTTATTATATGTAAATATGTATTAAAGAATAGAGTGTCTCTAAAAAATCCCACTTTTTTATTAATTGATTACCATGCATTATCTCCGAAATGGATGTAACAAAGTTTATTTAATTAGTGGAATGTTTTAATTATGTTTAATTTCTTAATGAACACTAAATTACCACATGCAAATCGTTTATAATAAATTTACCTAACAAGTTCTATTATCTAAATTAAATAAATTTAAAACATTCGGGTTTTTCGTCGGGTATTAATGACAAGTTAACACGCGATACATTCAAAAATATTGTTACGCCAGCGCATACAAACAAAAAACGTATAAAAATTGAAGTTGACGAAGTACTAAACAACTGAGAACAAGGTAGCGTTAATTTGTTTTTCCATGTTATCGGTCATTGCTTACACGACATAATCCACAAAATTATGACGCATTACAAAAAATATGTCGTTACATGTATCGCTACACTTCCATTGTAATCTACTTGTTAAGCGATTCTTTACAACAAAAAAAGAGCAGATCCCGACTTTAGAAAAATTGCTTTAAACTGGTCGTCGTATTAATATATTTAAATGTGTAATTTCTGGGTTGACTTCTAAAAAATGTTATCATTAAATGCAAACATTTTTGCAGCAGCTAAAAAAAACACCGAAGTGGGCGACAACGTTTCTGTAACATAATTAATTAACTGGTGGCCATATAAATTAGTATTAAAATTTGAAAATTATTCATATTAATCTATTTTAAACACAACCACCCTAGAATTTCATAAACGCGAAGAATGTACGACCTTGTCAACACTCCTTTGCGCTACTGAATTAAAAAAATCTCCCGATGTGGCAAAAAATGCATATTACACTTCAAAGTATGACAAATCGTTACGTATAAATCCAAAGTATGTGATGCAATATCACAAGAAAACATTCATCTTCCACACAGTAAAATGTCACAAAGATATTTTTATTAACTCATTATTCTTTAAACTGTACGGGAATAATAATAGCTCGCAAACGACTCTACGAACAATTATTAATTTATAATTTAGCGCTTAGTTCCACATCTTGAATAAAAAATAAATTACACCCTATTAGACATATAGCACACACTTTGGGCAATTTTTATGATGTAATAAACTGATTGCATGGATTCTGTGCCCGGCATGATTATTACCATAGAAGAACCGTCATTAAAGTTTTATTAAAGTATCATTAAAATTATTACCTAGTTCACATCAACATTCTAATTTAGTCACGGACAATTTGGGTATACAAAAAAAAACATTTAATATGGTTTTCTCCTCAAATAGTCGACTTTCACAGAAGACATTGTGAAAAGAAAAACATTAAACCCCGACTGACACTGGTGCGTTCTGGTAATTATGTCATCAAAAACTTGATGATTTTTGACACGAGATTATAATAATTATGCATGGGTTGCGTCTTAATGAAACCTCTTATCAATTCTATCTTTCCAGATGGAGACAGCCGCAAGACAGTGGGTATGGCGTTTCCGTTTAAAATTTTTCATTTAATTAAGGCTTCGTATACAAAAGTTATGCATCGAATGTACTACTGACTGGCATCTTCGTCCATTAAAAAATTTTATCACAGACATATTTCTGAAAAAAAAACCTGATGTGTCCGGCTAATTGGGCACTAAATGTACTTGCAACACAATAGAGAGGATTATAATTCCCTACGATAACTGTGACTCCTTTAAAACAATTTTTAATTATTTGAGCTGGTATGGAAGTCTGAGAATACACCGAAGCCAACAGCGTGGTAGAATAAATCATTCTACTATTACTTTTCCACCGCTTTTACAGAGAATACGCGTATCTGCTTTCTGCATGAACTTGTATAAGGAAAATATTTGAATAACAAAATACTTCAGGCCGGCCCAAATGGCGTGCATTAATCTAAAACAAGCGCTGCAAATCGCAAGCAGTGATCAGTATGGTCAACTGCAATATACAATACCAACCGCTGTGTTTATGGGATAATGAGTCCCAGCAGCGTAGGCTCAAACGGGACGGATACTTATTTCCTTATATAATGTATCCCACAATTTACATTTCTTGAAAATAAAGAGACCATGTAGAGAATAATATCATCGCTCTTTAACCTTCCATTTGAATAACGTCCACAAAAGTCTTCAGTTTTGATGAAGTGAAGTATCATCAAGTTGCAACTTTAATGATGCGGCATTCTTCAAACGGCACCTCACGTGAAATATTTCGAAAATTTTTCATCAAGACGATTAGATCTATCTTAAATAAGGTTGGGTAGTCAACAAGTGCATGAATACGTCAGATTAACAGTGTTAAGATCAACAGCCAGATAATTATTATTTGGATATTTTTATTTAGCAATTTACTTAAAATAAATAGTTTCAAATTCAAAAATAAATCATAGAAAGGAAAAAAATACTTCGTACTTTTATGTTTACGTGTTTCTAGCTTATCTAAACAATCCAGAAATATATAATTTTTTAAATAATATTTAGTCAGTACATATTTCAAAATTTTCAAATATTCTGTAGTCTTTCCCAAAATGATCTTAACAGATATTTTTTGTCTTTCCAAATTTACGAAAATCTCTGACATTATTTTGGGTCCTCTTACAAATCAGCCAAATTTTTATATCTCGCTGCCAGATACGTATATGTGTTTTTTATATTTCAGGCCTTTCTATTCTTATTTCGTTACCTGCGGCTCGCATAATTAGCTTTCTAATCCGATAAAATGATTATCTGACAACAAGGTTTTTCTAAGTTTTTACCGTATTTAAGGTAACTGCTAAAATACATACACATTATTTTAGGAATCAATAAAGTAAACAATGGTGTAATTGAAAAAAATCCTGCAAAAGCGAGAAAAAAATGTTCAGCACCAAGCGAAATTCGAACTCTCGATTCTCGGCCGTCGGACGAGTCGTATTGCCATTCGTGTATAGGAGGTTGTTTATACTCTTTCACTTGTAGAATTATGTACCGTTAAAAACAATACGATCAAAATCAAAAATCTTCTACATGATCGTTTTCCGGGTTGGAACCGTGTTAATTGAGTTTTTGGGCTGAACGTTTCGCACACTTTCGTAAGTGGCATCTTCAACTCTTTTGAGTTTCTCCTCTGGTATGGTTGACATACTGAGTTACCGTGCTCTTTTGCCTTATTCTTAACCCTGCTCCTGAAGATGCCACTTGCGAAAGTGTGCGAAACGTTGAGCCCAAAAACTCAATCAAAACGGTTCCAACCCGGAAAATGATCATGTATTCATTCCGACCGTGGAAGCCTCCGAAATTATTTTCAAAAAATCTTCTGCATCGCTCGTCTAGAACAAGCTTTTGCAAATATTCGTTATTTTCAAATTTACTCACATTCGCAAAAGTCTAGTTTCTAGCCTTGTGGTACAAAGAACTATCTAGCACAGAATGAATCTAAGTCTATTAAAGTGTGTACTACTGTCTTTCAAAAATCTACCTATATATCTGCATCACAAGCAACTTTGGTTTTTCCAATACTTCATTTTCTTATTATTATTTTTAGATATATACTTTGTCAATTTTTTCTGATTCTTAAATTGCCAAAAAAGCTAGAGTATATTTTTTTTATTAATTCCACAATAACATTTCTCTTCACCAGTGAAAAAAATTAGTCAAAAGTTTTTTTCGACAGAACTTCTCTTAACCCTGAAGTACAATAAAACATTTTTCAACTTTTTTGAAATATTATAAAATTTGATTCTGCAAATTTCATTTTTTATGAGAACCCCTATAAATTAAAATAAAGCTGTTTCAAATGAGTTTTTCCTTTACAAAATTTTGTGATAATGTCATCAGCATTTTGACGTGTATGTCAATTTGGATAGCTGCAGTATAATACTAATAATCACAGTATTGTATTATTCCCAAATTTTCGGGAAAATGTGCGTAAGCAGTTCTAAAAAATATGAGTGCAATGATAAATCATAAGTATAAAGTTATCATATTTTGCACATTTTAGATAGGATCTACTCGGCAAAATTTTGAGATGGCATCATCATTTCTTTGGGAGAGGAATAAACAGATATATTTTGATTCAAAATTTACCACGATTACGATCATTTTAAAAAGTCTGCAAGCTTTCAAGGCATTCGATTTTGCAGATTCAAAATTAAATTCCAAAATGTTATACAATTTTGATTTTTTTTCCGAAAATTTAAAATTCATTTACTACATTATATACCTACAAAATTTCACAACAACCGGTCCAGTAGTATCAAAGACTGTGTCTAATAAAAATCCGGACAAGGGGCAGACAGACAGACAGACGGACCGGCGGACGGAAACGGGGACTTATTTTTCGCACTCAAAGGGTCATGACACATCGAGAAAATATGAAAGTAGCCAATCGCCCAATAGATTCGATTACAATACTTTCTCAGCGTACGATCGAGAAGTAAAAATATGTTACACCTGCACAGTGATCGATCATTTCCAAAAGATTTTCCGAAGGGTAAATCTTATATTTTTCAAAAATTCTGAAAGTCTAATTTATACGATAATTTTTTATATTTCGTAAACTAAGTAGCAAAACATTTTTTTTCTCCAAAAGAAAAAACTTTCCAAAATATGTTTTTTCTAATGGATACACAATATTGTTCATAAATAAACTATCGTTACAATACTTCCCTAACTTAAAATTAAACCAATTTAGTATCAAATGTAGTTCTTTCGCAGTTTTTTCTATTAAATAACCATTCCAAAGTTCAAGGTTCTATCTTTTCAAATATCTGAGATACTGGAGAGGATATCTCAGAGATTTCTTCTAGGGCAACTATATTTTATTCTTTTCATAAGTGACATCACAGATAACATAACTTCAGCGGCTTTGTTGTATGCTGGCTTGTAGTTATTGAAAATATTGTTATCAGGGAAGATAAATTAAAAATTAAAAATGTAAATTGATTACGTACCTATTCTAAAAATTGGAAATGTTACGAAGGAATTGGAAAAATTACATACTTCTTACAAATTAATAGTGTAGGTATATATTTAGGTT